GAGGCGGCCGGGGCCCGCGGCGCACCACGCTCCTTCATCCCGCCGGCCGAGCCTGGCCTTGGCGACCTGAACCCCGTGTGGTCTCGCATTCCGTTAGTCCGGAGATGGGGCGGAGAAGCGTGGATCCCCGGTGGTACCACTGAGACGCCCGGTCCTGAATTCTACCCTCCACTGAACTATCTGCTTTGTGGGATAATTTCCTCATTGGTAGAGTCAGTAAGTTGTGGTGCAGAGAGCAATCCTATCTGGTGTGTCATCGTTTAGATTTTGCATATTTTTTACTAAGTTCATCCTTAAGGGAATCTTACAGATAAGGAAACTGAGCTCCAAGGAAGTGAAAAGACAGTGGAAACAAGAATGTTAGCACCATAAAGAGAAAAGCCGAATAGCGTGGTTTCCACTCTCTTCTTGTTATTGATTTGGGGACATTTTAAACTAAGAAAGAAACAGAAACACGGGTTTCTATGGACACATCTCAAAACAAAATGGATCTAACACCTTTAGAATGTAAGCCATCATACTTTGTATTATTCTGAAGTTATTTAAAATAATGGCAGGAAATGTCGGCTGGTGTTGGACCAGCAGTTTCTTTAAGGGCCAATATTCAAGCAAAGGCATAGTAAGGGAATAGTGAGGAAAAAAGAGAGAAAGAATGCTGTAACAGGAAAAAGGAAAGGAGGAGCAGATGAAAAGGGCAGAGTTAAATGTACCAGGCACTGTTTCAAGCTCCTTAAATATATTACCTCATCTAATCCTCCCCACAACCATATGAAGTGGGTATACTGTTGTCACCCTTCTTTGTATAAGGAAGGCAAGTTAGGCCCAGAGAAGTTAAGGAACTGGCACAAGATTACACAGTAAGTGACAAAGCTTTTCCTTGAACATAAGCAATCTAGCTCCAGAGTGTATACTTTTAATCGTCCCACTGTATTGCCTCTGATGGGAGGTTAAGACTTGAATCAATTGGATTTGATGCTACTGAGTGGGAGCAGACAAGAGATATTACAGGGCCATTATTTCATTTCTATGCAGACGATGTGAGGGCATGGGCTAGGATGCTTCAAAGGACAAAAATACCAAGAGTAATGTTAAAAAAGGAGAGAAAACATTGTGGGCAAAGGATTAGTATCTGGAATAGACAGTGAAAGAAGAGCTTTAAGAAAAAGACAAATAACCCTTCAGAAGAACGGGCAGATGTATAAATAGGCAATACGCAGATGAGGAAGTAAGGATGAAATGACAATGATCAAATAAAAAAGATGCATAACTGAACTAGTGACTGCTGGCATGCTCAGCAAAACCATGAGCCACACTGCCAAAACTGGAGATCGAAAGTACGCATAAAAAAAATATCAATTTTGTGGTAAAGTGGATGTTCTTCGTAGGAGTATAAATCACTATAGCTCTAAGGGGTGGTGGATGGGATTTGGCAGTATTAATTCAAGTTAAATACTCTTTAATATTGATTACAATTAAAAACATTGCTTTATACGTTCTAATTTTACTTTTTCATATCTACAAATAAACAGGTGTTTAAAAAGGTATGCAGAATATGTAAAAACGCATTTTTTGCATAATAGTTTAAAATTAGGAAAAATGTAAATTTCAACGGGGAAATGTGAGGGGACTTCAGAATAATTAAAGAGCAGCCATTTTTTCCAGAGTTAACAATATAGAAGAGATTGCATTGACATGAGTAAATTCCCGGTACCCATAGTTCTTTAGCGATGGACTAAATGGCTAGTATCATCACTTACAAAAGTGTTGTGAACTTGATGAAGCTTATGTTGACAAATGAAGTTTATATTTTTTATTTTTATCTTTTAATTCTATTTTCCACCAGCTTATTGTAGTCTTCTCCTATATGTAAAAGATTTTTTTCCTGGTACTTGTTTATGTTAGAGGTCCGATGATTGGCTTTTCATATTGATCATCTATAGTATTTTTCTCCAAATAGGTTCTCTGGTTTCACAGTAAGTCTAGTGTTCTTTTTTTTTGTCTTTTTTCGTGTCCGGCAATGGATCGCAACCCTCAGTGTTGCCCCCGTAC